ATTATTTTCACCTTGCAGGCACTATTTAATTTTCTCAGCCGTAACAAATTTAATGGTCAATCTTATCGGTGTTTGGTTCTTCAGGAGCTATGCTCGCCTTAATCTTGGTGAGTCCCCTGTTTTAGGTTACATCATCTGGCATCATTGACAAGACTAGGCGTACGTGTTAGATTTAAGATAGTATGTATTAGATTTAATATTTTTCACAAGACTAGGTGTAGGACATTGTAAATATCTAGTAACTACATACTATTAGGTCATTTCGTCCATTGTTTTTGAAGTACATGATACAGACATGTACTCTCTCCCAGCTTCCCATAATTTGTATAATATCTATAGTATTTATTTAGTGTTCGTAAAAAATATTTATTTAAGTGTAATTATATGATTGTATTTTCTGAAAAATAATGTTCTCATACTTGTAATAAAGCTCTAAACTAACATATTACCTCATTTTCAAGGGGAAATTTAAAAACTAATTGTGAAGAATATAAAATCATGGTAAAATTATAATTTTTCGTTCCACTTTTTGTCTATGTAGTCCAAATTTTTCTTCTTTCATCAAAAATCAATTAGTTTTTAAATTTTTGAATTATGGATCTATCAATGGGAATTTCATTATGGCATGTCCACTATAAAAATTGGTTGAATTGACATCAATATAGTAGATAATGTTGTATGAGTTCATCTGTGTCTGCCAAGACGATCTTCATGTTTATTGGCTTATCATTCAAGCCGTCAGGTCCATGATTTTGATGATTGTCTCATCCCTAGATCTTCGCTTTTAGTGTACAGAAAAGCTGAAGATATGAACTACCATTCAATTTGCTTGCATGTTCTTGCAGATTCTATCCGCAGGTAAAATATATTCTCCTCTCTCTTCTTCTTTCACTTCTACATGCATATTTTCTCTTCCAATAACTGCGTGTGAATATGCATGCCTTGTCTGAATATAAATCTTTTAGTGACATGTTTATCTTTGAATCATTTTTGCCAATGTTTCTCAGTGCAGGTCTGATATTGGCATCCTGGTTTTTGTCTCTTGGGTAAACTAAAAATGCACAAATCGATCCTTTTTCTCAAGTTGTCTGCTTCAACTCTAATCTCACTTGCGACTTGCATTTCCTCCTTGGCAGGGTTCAAAATGCTGAAGTTTTGTGCTTAGGACTGGTTTCAGCTGCAGTCTTTATGATTGTCGTGCCTCTCTTTAGAGCAACCAGTGGTGTTTTACTTCAAATGGCACCGCCTAGCATTCCAACTTCAGCATTAAGTAAATGTTGGAGACAGGTTTGTGCATAAGCATGCATTATATCATGTACCACGGAAGTTGTGAATTAAATTGGACCATGTGGACTTATTTCATATCTGTTTTATATTTTTTTCATTAAGTAGCGAGTTCCTTAACATTTTTGTTCTTAAAGTTGTTTACATTTCTAAATTTGAAAAATTAAGGAACTCTTTGACAATTATTTTGTCTTCTGTTTATAGATAACCGAGAGTACTTTTTGTAGTTCATGATGTTACAAGAATGTTCATAGTTTTATATTTTGACAGATTTCATCCCGTGAAGACATATTAGAAGTCACTCAAGCGCGATTTTGGGAATTAGTACCTGGTCAAGTTGTTGGCTCGCTCACTCTAACGGTAGAGTAACTAGTGTTAAGCATACTTGTATTCAGTCATTTCTAACATTATTATGCATCTGCAATCGTTAATAATCCTTTTAGTTATGATGTTACCTGGTAGTTTCATTCTGTATATCTGATTTTGGGAATTAATATCTGGTCAAGTTGTTGGCTCACTCTCTGCATAATTGTGTTCTGTCATTTCCAACATTGTTATGCATCTGCAATCGTTAATCATCCTTTTTGTTATGTTGTGATATCAACTGGTAGTTTCATTGTGTATATCTGATTTTGAGAATTATTACTACTTGGTCATGTTGTTGGCTCGTTCACTCTTAACGGAAGTGTAATTAGTGTTAAGCATACTTGTTTATGTCATCTCTAACATTGTTATGCATCTGCAACGGTGAATAATTCTTTTTGTTATGTTGTGCTGTTACCTGGTAGATTTGTTGTGTATATTTGATTTTCCAGTCCCAGTTCTGACATTCGTGAAATCACTGTTGTTACAGACAAAGAAAGGATCGGACAATCGCCAAACGCTCGAGTTTGTGCATGGTATGTATCATGAATTAGGCATACAGGACATGACAGTGCAAACTGAAGATGCTTGAGTTGCTGCTGCTCCATATTTCTCCGCATTCTTCCATATGAACAAGGTGATGATATCCTTTAGCTTACCCATACTATCAATTTTTCTAACATCCACATCAGGTTTATGATATTACCAAGTATCTCCAAACATGTTCCTCTGTTCCTCATAGTTCATAAATGTCTTAATTTTTCTTTCTTATATATGTTATATGCCAATTATGTCCAACATGTTCCACATTAGGCCTATCAATAACATGCATGATTGGTATCAATTTTTTCCCCTTCATATATATATATATATATAATTAATGGTTCGAACTTTTTTCAACCATCGATAAATGTTATTTATGAAGTCATTTTCAAACTTTTTTTTTATTGAATGAATAGAATAAATAAATGCTTGTATCTAATTACTGAGTCTTTAGGTTTATTTTAAATGCTTAAAAAATATTTTTTACAACATTTATAAATTTATCTTTAATACTTATGTAAGATATAAACATGATTATTTAGATTTTTGTACTTATTTGTAGACAAGATGAGATGTTTTGTTATTTTATTTAAATTGGAAGTTTCTCCTCCTTACGCATCCCTTTGTTTAATGAAACATCAAAACAATAGAAAAAGGAAAAATTAATATTTGGCCATTTAATAACTACCTTATTTATAATTTACATTTTTTTTTATTAAAAAAATAGTCTACCCAAAATATTTTTGTCAGATCATATGCAATGTTATGAAATCAAAATTTTAAAAATATAATAAAGTTAAGAATAAGTTGTCACATCATACTTCAACACATCCCATCAACTTCCCATTAATATCACAATGATTTCAAATATCGTTTTTTAAATATTAATGAATCTTTAGGGCGTGATATCATTTTAAAATGTACACATTGAGTAGTGAACCCGATGAAGCTAAAGTGATACCTAGGAAAAGATTAAAATAACATCTCAACTAAATAAGAGTTTTAATTATATAGGTTTCTATTCTTTAAACGATAGATTTATTCAAGATTATGATATATCACTACTTAATTTATTCGATTAATTTTTTTTTATTTTTTTTTTTTATAACCCATTGATGAGATAATGTAGTTGATGCAGTTAAGGTTGAATAAAATCAATTTTTAATTAATGGATAATATTGCTTATGAATTATGGTTTTAAAAAAACATTCTTAAAAGAACCATTAAATAATTAATTAAGTCATTTTGTTTGCTTTATTATACTTATAACATGCGTAGGACGAAGAGGTAATTAACAAAATTAATTACTAATTAAAGTCAGCTATTTAATTAAAGTATATACATAGCGAGGGTTTAATCTGTGGGTCCCACCACGATAATAGACATTTTATTGTCGTTTACAAAGACTCAAATACCCACCACTTGTCTTTTTTATTTCTCTTTATTCTCCTATAAAGTAAAAAGAGATTTCTTTTTCTTTTATATAATATATATATATATATATATATATATATATATATATATATATATATATATATATATATGTGGATAGTAAAAAAGTATATAAAAAAAATTAATTAGAGAATATACATGATACATAAATTGGGAATTTGGACCAATAAAATTTAGACAAATCGATCCAAACGTACGAACTTTTTTAAAATTTCTTTTTTACCATCTAATTTGTCGAAGTAAATAGAGTAAAAAGAAGAGATAAATCGTGTTGTTGTAAGTGAGATCATCCTCACAAAGAGAAATAATTGACTACAACAAAGACGTGCACGTAATTGATATGGAGCAAATTAATATAAACTCGATATATTTAATCGCTGATTAAATTAGATTAAATTATATTTATTGAGATATTATTATCCTCTCAGATAAATGTGCCTTTTTATATATATATATATATATATATATATATATATATATATATATATATAATTAGAGAATTTATTTTAATTTTTATTGTTTTTAAAAATATTTTGGAGATAACAAAAAAGAATAACTATATATATAATTCGAACTTTAAAGGGAAAACTCTAGTCCGATCATTTTTGTTAATTTTATTTGTTTTCAAAAAAATATTTCTCTCAAAAATCAATTTTATAATATTGTGGGAAAATGTTCTCGATATTATATTCTATTTTAGGCTTGTTTTTTAATTACAATACAATAATTTTAGTTATTACTATCCAACTTTAGTTAAATGATGAAATTGATAGATAAAATATATTTGAATTTAATTAATATTATAACTATTTTTCACGTATAATGAAATTTAAACATAACATACACATAATATTTTAAAAAATTAAGATATAATTTACAATTAATATTAAATTTAAGAAAATGACATAATTATAAAAAGCAATATTATTTATAAAAATAAAAATAAAATCATTCACACGTTTTTTCTTTTTATCCCATCCATTTTAAATATTTGCATGTGGCGCACGCAAGGATTAGGTATTTACATTTTTTATAAATAAAAAAATAGCCCATTTTAAATTTGTGATATTTTAGGGAGCTCTCTGCAAAAAGGAATCCCATTTTCTCAACAAACAAACAAAACTTGTCATTAGTGATCATAATCTTGCTATTAACAAAATAATTAAGAAATACTCTCATTTTCTAAATTAAATGCACACTTTATATCATATAATATAATATCAATTTTAAAAAAAAAAAGATTCTTTCTAAATATACTAAATAATTCATAATTATTCGTCTTTAATTTTATTTTTAGTATATATTTATTTGAAGTCGTGAAATAAATTTAATTTATGAAATAGATGAATTTTAATAAAGTTCAAATATATTAATAAGACAATAAATATTGTTTTTTTTTTTACAAAACAGCCTAATTGAAAATTTTAAATTACTCAAAAGATGAGGGGTCGCTTTGTAATAAATTATAGTTTTCTACTGGTTAATGTTGTCGTTAGGCAATGTCGACTGAGACGGGGGCGGAGACGGCGGTATTGCCGCCATGCCGTCCGGTTGGCCGAGTAAGCTGCTTATTGACCGAGCTTTCACAAGACCCAGTTTGGTTCTCTTCTTGCTGGCTAACGTCAATGATGGCGACGGCGGTGGTGGGCATGGAGGTGGCTTTTTCTCGTCTTTATCAACGGTGACAATGTTTTTCAGTGTGGCGGCGGCGGCGGCCAAAGAGCGGCTGCGTACGTTGTTCATGCTGCGGAGACGGCCTTTTCCCAAGTGATGTTCACAGAGAGAATAACCGACGAGAGTTTGTTGGCAACATCGCCATCCTCTTCCATTGACACGGCTGCACAGGGATCCCTCCATTAACGCGCCGCCTCTCGACCTCTTTTTTCCGGCGAGATTCAAACCCAGTTTGGGTTGTTTCTTGTTCTTCGTTGTCTTCTTATGATCTTGCAGTGACTCCATGGCGGTGGTGGTTTGATCATCGGCATTGTTCTGATCATCGTCACTTTGCCTCTCAAAGCTCCCTCTTCTCTTCTTTAATGGAAATTCCTTATCCCTCTCGCACCATTGCCCATCACCCACTACAATCAAACATAAATAAACAAAATCCAAGTTAAATCGCAAACTCGAAAACGAAAACCGACCACAACATTACACGAATTCGAGTATCATATCGTAATTTTTAGCAGATAAAACACTAACTATTTCATATAATTTTCATATGATTTGAAGTTTTGACTTCCCATCAAATCAATATTGAAAACTCATGATCATGGTGCACATTTATTCACACGAAACATAATCAAATCATTACAGTACAGCAAAGGAAAACCAAGCAGCCCAGAAAGTGATATGAAAAAAACAAAAGGGGTGAGACCTTGAGGAGAAGAGGAGGACAGTGGAAGAACCCCATTGCTTGTTTCTGCACCAAACACAGTCGTTTCCCTAAAATAATTCAGAGATACACATAGCTATGAAATTCACATGGGTAACATTAAAAGAAGGAAACCCACAAGAAAATGTGTAATTACTGTAAGCCATGATTTCAGAAGAAGACAGGAGCTGTGGAACAGCGAAGAACATGCAGAGCCCAGATGTTTTCACAGGCAAAAGCCAAACGAAATCATATTAAAAAAAAAAAAAAAAAAAAACACATCAGAACAGTGATTTCCGCTGTCCTTTTTTACTCTCCTAAACATAAAAGTAAATGGATTAAACCGTATTTTGGGTTTTTTATATGGAGGAAGAACAGAAATGGGGGCTTTGAATCGTTACCTGGAATCGTGTTGTTCTAGCTGATCCTTCTTCCCCTGCACACGAAAAATCCGACAACCCCATGAGCGATTTCAGGGACCATTCTTCAATAGAACGCACCGCCCAAAAGAAAACAGAAAAATCCCAAATCGAGTAAAGAAAAAAGAGGGAGGGGGGTATTTGATTACTGACCAAGGCATTATTAGTGTGGTCGGCGGCGGAATCGCAGGCGTAGGGGTGTAGATTTGGAGGATCGGAGGAGGGGAGTTGGAGATGGAGTTGCACCGGCGGAGTGCGGCGGAGGAGGGGATCTGAGAGAGGGAGAGGAGAGAGAGAGGAGAAGGATAATGGGACCTGCCGTTTTCTGATCCTCATGTCGCCGGCGGACAACCCAAATTGTCGGATTATTTGTGCAGAAAAAGGAGGAAGAAGAAGGGAAAAGTGTAGTGTGTATGGTCTTATCTTTGATTTTTTTGGTAATGGAATTTGTGTGTGGGTAAGGCCTTAATGAGTTGCACCGGGGTGGGGAGCGCAACCGGAAGAGGAGGTAGCCGGTAGGAATCGGAGAGGCAGGTGGGGACTGGGAGTACGGAGAGGGAGAGCGATGCCAGGGTGGAAGAGAGAGAGCGGGTGATGGAATACAAAATGATGGGAGTGGGTAGTTTTATCGTTTCTACTTTCTAACATGGCTGGATTGGCCTTGGATGGGATGGGACCCACTATCCTTTTTTTTCATTTCCTCTACTAAAACTTATATCCACTCAAAATATAATTTTATTAAAAAAATAATTATATTAAAATATTTTTGTTTATAAACTATAGATTAAAACATTATATGTGATAAAAATGGGTTGATTTATTAAGCCTCAATTAAAAGTTTTTGCATTTCTTTACTTTAAAAAAAATATATTATATTAAAATAGTGACGTGATTAGCCAAGTAAGCATGTTAATAATGTGATTATGAATTTAATATAATAAATATGTGTGAATGACATGATTTATTTTGTGATAATTATGAATAAATGCATAAGATGTGATTTTTTGAAATTCGTTGTAAATGAAAATAATATTTTAATATTTTAATGGTAATTTTTTCTAAAATATATATTTAAATTAATTTTTTAATTAAAGGTTTGAAAATAAAAAAAAATATATATATATAAAAAAAAATCAATATTTTATAACAACAATAATTAATGGGCCAACGAGGATGGATCAAGCCCATGTGGAATTTGGAGTTTTTTATTCGTTAATAATAATATTTCATTAAATTACAAATTAAAATAAAATTTACCATGAAAATGGATTAGTTACTCACTAACTAATTTATCCGGCAAATTCTAATTAAATATATACAAAATTTTCAATTTATTTACATTATATTTTATGCAATAAAAAAAATCTAATAATAATTCATCTGTTTTTTTAGGTTAAAAAAAAAAATGTTATTTTATCCCTAAATATTATAATATATGAACCAATTTTCACTAATCACATAAAATATGAAAATAAAGAATATATGGAAATCATATCTTTATTTCTATATTTATTTCTTAAACCTATTCACAAAAATATTAAATTATAATCAAATTTAAATATATAAGCATTGTTTATTTATTAGTAAAATGAAAATATAAATATCTAAATTATTCTATAATTAAAAGTCCAAACACATTATTATAAGAATTAAATTAAGGCGAAATAGATTTTATTTTTAAATTATTGTTACATAATTTGCATGTGTATAAGATATGCAAAAGTATAGAAAGAAATATTATAATCAAATGAATATTGTTTTTTTTTTTTCTATTATAGGAATTAAATCAAATATACCGTAATGAATTGGATTAGGTTAGAAAAATATTTTAAATAACAGGACATCAATAATCTAAATAGAATTTGCATCCCAACTTATCCTCTATTTTTATAAATGAATTTTATTTATTAACGTTACTAAATTTAAATATCAAATATTTATATAAAAACTCGGATATTAAATATTCATAAGTTTTTTTGGTTAGGTCGTGTTTTCAATTTGATTATTCTAATTTTTTATTTTAAAAAAAATCAATTTAATCTAAAAAAAAATCTATCTAAATCTTCTATAGTTTTGATATTCGGAATCCTTTATTAATTGGGATTGAAGGCTGCGAATTTAAGTTAAAAATAATTATTAAATTGAGATTTGAATGTTACAGATTTAGAAAGTGATTGTGGAAATACAGTAAGATCAGCGTTCTTCCAATTTAGAAACAAGAAATTGGAATGGATTCTGTCAAAGTTTGGGAAAGAATGCTCTCTTAATCTCTATCATTATCACTCATTCAGTGTTCATTGATTGAAGAAGAAACTAAGCTGGTGCCGCCAATCGCACGGCGCCACACACGCTTCTTCATCAGATCTCAGCCGCTCGATTCCGTAATATCCAATTTTCCATTCATCAGCCCCTGGTTTTGTTGCGTAATAATAATTTTATCTATACGATTAAGCTCCCTTTCCTTTTCTCTCTGTAACTTTCTTTTGTTTTTTTTTTTCTTTCTTTTCCCTCTTTGTTGATGCTGTGTGGACCAGATCGCTGATCGGTGGGCGGACCTTTCACGGCGAATCAGCTCGAACGCAGCGGGGTCTGAGGGGAAGACAAGTTTGGGGTTTTTTGAATGATATGGAATCGAGAGCAGTCGTCTGAGGCAGGTGTTCAGTTTTCTTGTTCTTCTTCTGAATCGGAGTTTGAATTTTGTTGTTTGGGTGGTGTCGCGATAAACCCTAGTTTTCCTTGCCAGCCTAGAATTGGGAACTTTTTTAACTCGATCTTCTTTTGTCGTTTGATGAACTGGGATTGACGGGGTTAAGGCTGAGCTCCATGGAATTTGATCGAGGACTTATTGATTCTTGAGTATTGTATTCCGACTGGGTTAGGTTGGTTTGCGAGTACTAGGGTTTTCTGTACGGATTGTCCGATGCTTTTAAGCCTTCGACTAATTTAAGGATGTGTTGTGAGGGGATTGTTCATCTGGGACAGAGTTGATCTCTTGCTTTGAGGTAATTTGAATTTTATGGTGCCATTGGGTTTCTTCTAACCTGGGGCGGCTAAGTTTCTGGTTTAATTGGGGGTTGTTCTTTCCTTTTCTTTTTGTTTCCTGATAAATTTGTAATGGGTGATGAAATCTTTGATGCAATGAACCTTGACTTGAATCTGGGTCCTATTCCAGAGCCGCTTTCGAACTCGGTTCTTCAAATTGAAGATGTGAATTTAGCTGATTTGACTGAGGATCCTGTTCATAGATTTGGGGAAGCTATCAGGTTTAGGACGAGACAGCGGTGGCGAAGGCGTCAAGTCCAAATTCCTTCTGAGACTCAGAATATTACTATGGAATTGAGTGAAATCATGGTCAATTCAGGCAATGGGAATACATTGCAGCCATTACAGGCTGGTGAGGGCAGTATCACTGCTGAGGAAAGGAAGAACGAAGCGGGGAAAACATGTGAAATCAACAATGAAGCTCTGGAAGATGAAAAGACAGAGAATAAAAGTGATGTTGAAAAGGGCAGCGATTCTGATGGGAGTTTCTTTGATTGCAATATATGTCTGGATTTGGCTAGGGACCCCGTTGTAACTTGTTGCGGTCATCTTTACTGTTGGCCGTGCCTTTATCGATGGTTACATCTACATTCAGAGGCTAAGGAATGCCCTGTATGTAAAGGAGAGGTCACTACAAAAAACGTAACTCCGATCTATGGGCGTGGTGGTAATACCCCCGTGACAGAGGAGGATGCTACACTTAAGATTCCTCTAAGGCCCCACGCTCGGAAAGTTGAAAGTTTGAGGCAAACCATCCAGAGGACTGCATTGAGTTTCCCAGTGGAGGATATGATTCGTCGATTGGGAAACAGATTTGATTTTAATCGTGACCTTGACCAACCGCCTGAACCAGACAGCTCACACGAAACCTTTGGTAGATCTCCAACCTTGTTGAATAGGCTTTTAACATCCAGGGGAATTCGTAGAGAACAAATTTCACTGCCCCCCCATGATGATGTAGGAGATTTATCACACGCCGATGTGTCTGGCATTGAGACTGGGGAAACCCGTCTTCAGTCTCTCCCCGTGCTTCGATCATTACTACACCGGACAAGAGTTTCTTCTCTTACTTCTGCATTTAACTCCACTGATAGGCTTCCAGATGGTCTTCTATATACCGATCCGCTCATTCCTAGAATTCAAGAGCAGCCTCCTCCACCTGTTGAGGATAGAGATTCATTCTCTAGCATTGCTGCTGTTATCAATTCAGAGAGTCAAATGGACACTGCTGTAGAAATTGATTCCATGGTCTCCATTTCAACTTCATCCTCCAGAAGGAGAACTGATGCCTTACAGGTTTCTGATGTCGACAGTGGAAACTCTCGGGCACCCAGACGGAGAAGATTGGCTTGAAAAATTTTCGATCTGGTCCTGAGACTGATAAATGAATCAGGACCACAGTATTTCAACACCTATGTAAGTGCTACTTGGATCTATTTACTTTTTCACTCAACAAAAAGCAATGACTCCTGCTTCGACAATGGACCATCACATCGTCAATATTCAACTTTCTTCATTTTACTGTTTATCGTTCGTGAATTGAAAATGTAGGCATACTTCGAGAAGCAAATAACTAGTAATCAAGTAAAGCACTGTTCTTTATCTCCTCCATTTGTAACCTTTGATGCATCAAAACCTGAGTTCAACATTTTCTTACAAATCCATGTCTTCTATGTTCTTGACTTGGTGTTTCACTGACCATATTTAGGAAGTATAAAAACGTTCATGACTATAATTTTCCTGTTTAGCTTAATAAGAGTGCAATCATAAGTTCTTCCATAGTTTGAACTTTTTCTACTTCTCTTTGATTATTGCCCATTAACGAACATGGGATTTAACTATTCACCTCAAATCAAGTTAAATTTGAAGTAGCTAGAAATTCTTGTTAGTTCAAGTTACTCTGTTTTGACTTATTTAGATTGATCATTACGATAATGATAAAGCAAACATATCAGGTGGAAGATCTTTCAACTTTTGGCCTTGCTTTATTCTCCATTTATCTTATTTGATTCTTTTAGCTCATCTGCTGGTCCTGTTAGCATAATCTAAAAGCTAGTTAAATTATTCACCACTCAGACAAAGAATCCCAGAGCAGGAATGGACTTTGTACCGATTATCATGCAAGAGAACCAGCTAGAAATCTTGAAGGTTATGAATACCTCTCACCCCATTGATATCATCTTCCACTACTCACTGCTATATGAAAAATCACATTATCTTGTGGAGTAAAAGCCTGAAGTTCACTTGTTGATGTTTAGATCACTCACAAAAACAATGCAATGATTGAGTTTCTCATTAGTAGAACAGCTTTCTTCACTCTTTTCACATCAAGAAACACATTTAGTTCGATTCTGCTGTGGTGCTTGTTGATTTTAGGAGAGTGCATCATGATCATTTACTTTGATTCTCATGGATTCTATGATTCTGTTTGCTTATCCTGTTGGCCCCATGTTTTTTTCTTTGTGCTCTAAAACGTTCGAGCCAATCTACACACACCTTAACTAATCTCGCACATTTAGTTCTATTCTGCTATGGTGCTGTTGACTTTAGGAGAACCCATCATAATCATTTACTTTATTCTCATAGATTCTGTGATTCTGTTTACTTATCCTGTTGGCTCCATGTTTTTTTATACCATAAAAACGTTTGAGCCAATCTACACATTTAGTTCGATTCTGCTACTGTGCTTATTGACTTTAGGACAACTCATCATGATCATTAACTTTGATTCCCATGGATTCTATGATTCTGTTTACTTATCATATTGGCTCCATGTTTTTTTTTTCATTCGAGCCAACCTACACACACCTTAACTAATCTCACACATTTAGTTTGATTCTGCTACTGTGCTTATTGACTTTAGGACAACTCATCATGATCATTTACTTCGATTCTCATGGATTCTATGATTCTGTTTACTTATCATATTGGCTCCATGTTTTTTTTTTTTCGTTCGGGCCAACCTACACACACCTTAACTAATCTCACACATTTAGTTCGATTCTGCAACGGTGCTTGTTGACTTTAGGAGAACTCATCATGATCATATACTTTGATTCTCATGGATTCTGTGATTCTATCCACTTACCCTGCTGGGCTCCATCCCTTTTTCTTCAATACCATAAAAAGTCAACCTACACACATCTAAACTAATCCCACACGCACTCCATCGATTTCATCCTCCACTAAAATACCCATTCTTTTGATTATAATAACTGATCTGCAGTAATTTGTATCCCATTCCCATTTGTCAACCCATTGAGTAAGATTTAAGCATCTTCATTGTTTGAAAGCTACAACTACAAGTGTCATGATTAGCACTAGAGTATTAACTATGTAGCTTGAGTTGCTGCCCCCTGTAAACATGATGAATCATGATAAGAAATGAAGTGGGAGCTCATTCATTGCATCAAATGAAATGAAGGGTGTTACCTCTTTCAGATGCTCTGCTGCTGTTGTGTGCTGTGTTTTGTATCTCTGCAATGTTTTCTAATAATTTGCATCAGCTGATGCAAGGTTATTCCTTGTCTTTTTAGTGAAATAAACTTGCAACTGTTCATCTGTCTACACAGACCTTGTTCTTCTGGAATAATACTATTTTCTGTTCAGGTTTTGAATTTATGAACTCTTTTCTATTTTCTGTTCAGGTTGGAATAATACTCTTTTCTGTTCAAGTTTGTTCAATCAATTTATACCCGATTTTGTGTCGTATTAACTCAAATTTCAAACTAATAACTGTACTAATTAAAGCTTATTTAAATGCAAAGATTAATGGGAATCTAATAGATAGTGAAGGTTCTTTCTATCTTGGTGCCATTCTGAGAGATGAAGAATATCATTCGGATGATTCTGAATCGATTTTAGATGGAATCAAATGAAATTATCTATAAAATCACTAAAATCAATACATTTGATTATATGGCATTGAACAATGATCGTAAACTGTCCTCTGTCCTCTATCACGATTTCGAATGAAACTATTCATGGAATTGTGTGTTATGGAAAATGTAGATCATCGCCAACTGAGACTTGGGTTAAGCTCTGTCTCGAAACTTTGTGTGGTTAGGAAATGAAGATCATCGTCGTTTCTTGTCCTTGTCCTGTCCCCCACCCCAACATAGCACTTCACTTTCGGGATTAGGAAGAATATGGTTCTCCCTTCTTCATTGATCTGAAGAAAATGAATCGTTTACCAATGGCTTTATGAGGATAACTAAACTGACACACCAGAGTTGGCTATGACACAATTAGGCGGTGCACGCACAATAACATTCGTGTATACAACTCTTTAAATTTATTCATTTTTTTCTAAAATTTTATAAATGAAAATTAGGTTTAAAAAATGTTTTCTTCATTTTGAAATTTGAACTCTACCAATTAAGAACATTTAATTATCAAATATAGCAAATCTTAAACAATTTCGTGCCTCTCATATTATGATTTAATGTCAAATACATTCGACCACACCTCAAAAACTATCTATTCTCGACTCGAACATTTGTCTATATGATATCAACCATATTATATTAAATCATAAACATAACTTAGGAAAAAAAAAAAATACATAAGATCTCAAAATTATTGGAAGACAAATGAACATGGGATGGATGACAATCATCATAGTCAATAAGATCATGATGATGGGTGTTTATGTTAGCATTATTTTTGAGGAAATCAATGAAAAAAAAAAAACAAAGGAATCAGTTATTCATATGATGAATGAAAAAACATTATATGGTGAGTATGCATTAAGCTATCCTCACATACTCACGTGCTACCGAAAATAATGTGTTTTCATTATTTAGTTTCAAATAATAATAATTATTATAATTGTCCGTTTTGGCCCGTTACGTATCGCCGTCAACCTCACAATTTTTAAAACGCGTCTACTAGTAATAAGTTTCCACACCCTTATAAGGAATGCTTTGTTTCTCTCTCGAACCGATGTGAGACCTCACAATTCACCACCTTTGGAGGCCAGCATCCTGTCTGGCTTTGATACCATTTATAACAACTCAAGCCCACCACTAGCAATATTGTTTACTTTGGTCCGTTATATATCATCGTCAGTCTTCACAGTTTTTAAAGTGCATCTCCTAAGATTTTGAACGTCTAAATTACATAACAAAAAAGTATTCAAAACGATCGAACCACGAGTAGCGATCATAATTATGAATATTATTATTGAGAGAGGGAGAGAAAAAGGGCAATAATGTAAGGGTAGGGCCAAGGCATGCACGCCCATAATTGTTGAAGTTTGGGATTGGGTGGTCAAGCCAAGCCCTTCCCACTAAACTACATACTCTTTCTTTTATACCCTTCTTTAGGGTTTTGAAAACTTCCAATTTTGTTGTTTGAAAATGGCGTTGGAACAAACTTTCAAATGTTCTTCTTAAGGACACCTACAAACATGGGCTTTGAATAAAGAAAAAAAAGTGCCCTTTCAACCGAAAAATATAAGCTCGCTTTTCGTATCTCGTTCACATGGTTCTACTTTTCGAACTTCTTCTTAAAAAAGGTCTTTGGGCGGGGAATCAGAGTCCCAAGGAAATCTTCTTTGTTTCTAATTGATACGAGCTTCTCACATCGGTTGGAGAAGAAAACGAAACCTTCCTTATAAGAGTGCAAAAACTTCTCCTTAATAGACACATTTTAAAATAATGAGGTTGACGACAATACATAATGGGTCAAAACGGACAATATTTGTTAGTAGTGGGCTTGGATTGTTACAAAATGGTATCAAAGCCAACGAGGATGTTGGGCTCTCAAAGGGGTAGATTGTGAAATCCCACATTAGTTAAAGAGGGGGGAACGAAACATTCCCTATAAGGGTGTGGAAACCTCTTCCACGTAGACACGATTTAAAACTGAGACTAACGGAAATATTTGTTATCGGTGAGCTTAGACTTTTACACATAGTTTCTAAAAGAAACAAACCCTAAAGAGAAATAAAACTCGATCGATCGTCCGACCAGTATTATTCCCGAGGAAAAATAGGGGTTTTTTTTTTTAAATATATAGTAGACAAGGTGCATCATCTAAGCACATGTAGCAATTAGTAGCATATGAAAAAACAAAAGATTTGGTTACAAAAAGAAGAGAGGAAAGAAAGGATATATTGTAGAATAAAATAAGGGTTAATGTCCCAAAGTTTGGATACAAGTTATAACATATAATAAATATAATGTATGATTGTTATTATTATTATTATTATTATTATTATTATTATTATTATTATTATTATTAAGATGATAATGATAAATATTATAAGAAAACATGGAGAAGTGAAGAGACATGATAATGATAGGTTAAAAGGAGACAAAGATCCTTCCAATTCCTCAGTTGCATGCTTTCTTGTCTTTTTTTCTTTTTATTTATTTATTTATTATTATTATTTTTGGTTCTAAATACACAAAATTTGTAATCAAAGACAATCATTCACTTTTTCCATAAAGTGGTCTTTGTTTTTCAGCCTATGTTTAGGGCACTGTTTTTGTAATGTAATTAGCTTAATTAATTTCTGTTCGACCTACCTTTTATCATAATTGTCCCACGCTACCCCTATTCACTTTTGTCTCATTTTTTATATATATCACTCCTTGATCATTAATAATCGATCGAGAAGAGGCTTTTGAGATAGAAATGAAATTACCTTGAGAGATACTAAAAATGTCCATTTAACCAATGAGGTCAGAGACCTGCCCTAAATGGAGAATGAGGAAAGGACGGAGATGAGATTTTTCCGTGTTTGCCAATTACGAGGATTATATTTTTCATTTTGGTCTCTACCTGACTCGGTCAAATTCCTGACCTTGTCGTGAAGTGTATAGCATTGATGAGCTAAGCTTGATAACAATTTGAGGCTAAAATGGTCAAGTCGATGAGTTTTCTATATTGGGTTTGTTTATGACTGAGTTATCAATATGGTAATGTTACTAGACTCGTAACGTCTTGGACTACACATTGAAACGTTGATATAAAGCACGAAAAGTGAGGTAGGTGGCAAGGCAACACCCAATGCCATAGCATGAAAAGGATTAAAATTTGAAGAGGCTGACAAAAAGGGTTTTTTGTAAGGGAAAATTACCACTCATCATCTTACATTATTATATTTTTACCACTCTTTTTTTTTATCTTTGAAAACCCCCATTCACTGTCTTCTCTTGTTCTTCCCAATGCCTTTAGGTCAAACCCTTGTTTTTCTCAATAACCCTAAACCAACTTTATTACCTCATTAACGATCAAATTTTACCATCGTCGAAGTTAGATCATTTCTAAAACGTAAAAATTTATAATAAGATCTTTTAATTTTAAGAAATGGACAAAATTATATTACTTTATAAGATGTGTCATATTGACATCATATATTACCGATATGTATATACATTAAACCAAAGTGGGTGACATGACGAAGAGCTTGTAATAAGAGAAAATAAAAAGCATATATTATAAGTGGAGAGCCACTAAGGGAAGCTATATATATATATATTATAATGTTGTAATCTATTATTGAGTAATTTTTTTTTTTTTTTTTTATCATAATAGCAACCATGATGATCTGTGTTATTAATTATGCTCATTATTGATAACAATTAATACGATCCCATTTTTACCCCCAAAATTAATTTCCCAACTTTGTTATAATGCTCTATAAAATGATGACCATCATTGTCTTTTTCTCTTTCTTTTTTTATTCAATAAATGCAAAATTTCCCACTCTCTTTTGCCCCATTATAAATGTTTTAATATTATTATTATTATTATTTCTTTCATCATATTTCATAAATATAATTTTTTAAAAGTAATTTCATATATAACCTAGTATAAGTAATTCCATAGATATTATATATATATATATATATATATATATATA